TGAAGATGAGTGATTCTAAAAAAGTCGGGGGTTTGCAAATGAGACTTCAAAAACGGCTCTCTCTTACTCCCAAAACTGCATGCAACATTTTACATATAATTTTGAAAGGTGCTAAGGTCCTCTAAAACTCTTTTCCAATAGACTCTATGGAACTTCCAGGTTAAGAAGCCTCAATTTAAAACAATAGTAAACTCTATAAATTTAAAAAATTAGTTGACCATAATGGGAACAGAAGAAGCTGAACCTGTGTAGGGAAACTGAAATTTGTACACTGACTTTTTCTGTATCATAGTCACAGTTTCCTTTTTCTTCTTCCGGCCCAGGTTTATTGTGAAATTTAACAAGGTAATATCTGTCCATTGCTTGGAGTTCTCCAGAGAAACGTGTCCCACTCCTTTGCAGAACATCTTTTTGAGGGTTTCTTCCCAGGTTCCCTAGCCCTAGGAAACTTGCAGACCCAAATTAGTGACAACAAACCTAGCAAGCAGCAAACAGCTATGGGGGATTCCAGGAACAGAAGGATGGGCCTCTATTTCCAGGCCTCTAAGCCTGGAGAAGAAAAGACTTGGGACCAAGAATTTCCTTAGGAAGCAGCCAATCAGATTTGTAGGGGAGGAAAAATCTTTTTTCTCTATCCATCTTAGGTTCATTGTCTGGAGCCCTGTAAATTAGAATAACAACAGACAGATTAATAAGAAAAAACAAAAGCTTACTAACATGAGCATGGTACGTACACATAGGAGCATCTAGTGATAAGTAAGCTAAATGGGTGGTTAGAACTTGGGCATATATAGCACCTTAGCAAAAGAACAATAAATTTATTAGAAGTGGCAAGACAAAGGAAAAGAACTTTGAGCTTCTAGGGAGCAGCAAATTGTGGGAAGGCAAACCTATAGAGGAACTAAGGGAAGATAAGGGCTAGTTTGTAAGGTTTGCTATGTAGATTCTTTTGGGCTGATAAGGGTCTAGATCCATCTCCAGTGATTAACTTCTGTCCTTCCTGGTAGAGGGAGGAGGGGGACACCTTTACAATTTTATGTCCTGCTTTTCGGCAAATAGGGGGAGGGCAGAGAGCTCTTCCTGATTTAGCTTCTTCTCAATTGCATTCAGCTCAAAATAATACTTCTCCCAAAGTGGCATATTTTAGGGTGGCATATTCTGCTGCTCTTCAGAATAATCACCTAGAACCCCACCCTGTTGGGGGGTACAATTGCTGTAGGAATGAGGGTGCTTGGTGTTCATGAGGGGCGGTTATGTATAAGGGGAGAGGGGGAGACGGAAGAAGGAAGTGGTATTGTTGGTTTGTAGTAGAAACAGACTCTTGACAGGCTCTGATACCTACAGTTACTTGGAAACTAAGTCACCTCCTCCCCATTCCCATTACCAAAGGACTAGAACCAGTTGGCCAGCACAAAGTAAAACTCCCTCTTCTTGCCTCTGCCCTCCACCCCTCGGTTATGCTGCCCTTTGGTATTTTTGCCTCTTTAAAGCTACTC